AAAAGCTTTCCTTTCATAATCCCCGTTCTCCCATTTGCTCATCATCATCTGTATGTTGCACGGTCTTGCTTCTTCTGGATATCCGTTTCCAAGACAATTCTGAGTTAATTTTTTCAGTTCCTCTTCACAGAACTCATGATCAGTGAGTCGCAGACTTCTAAATACCATACTCTTAAGTCTTCCAATCCTCATCCCTTAAGTGCTGTTAGACTGGAAGCTAAGGATTATTATGCATGTGATTTTTTTCGGAACAGTCAATTCTTAAGAGTCTTAGCTTAGTCTCCATTCGCTCAGCAAGGAGGAGATCACGAAAAATAAAGGGAAGTCAAGAAAGCCGTGAGAGCAGGCAAGCCTGGATTCAACGGGGTACAGATATTTGTGCCGAGGACCTATTCGCACAAATCTACAATCATAGTTCCAATGCAATCCGCTACAGTTTTCGGTGAGATCAACATACGAATCCCCTCCACTCGCCTCTTCAAAAGAAATGAAAGGTACTCCAGCATAAACCTGGAGTCAGCCTGATAATTAACCGGTGTGGGTCCACTTGTGGGTCGTAGTATAAAAATTAAAGGCTAGTAACAGGAAAAATTTGCTCTATGAAATGTTGTAGGAGATAGGTCCCCAGTGTGCGTTTGTGTGCTTGTGTGGAAACTCGGATTTTCGTCTTAATGAGAAGTGACTGATAACATGCCTGACCAAAAAGGGAGGGATACCAACCAATGTAGAGATGAACAAATGATTAATATCTCATGCTTAGATGGTACGGCCAACTTGAGAAACAACAGGAATGTTCTTTGGGCGCTTTAACAGTGGAAAAGTAAAGAGGTAGATTTTTGCACCTGAATTTTCGAAATAAGTCCGACATAAAGCCTAAAAGATTTAGATGCAATGTTTGTGCGATGAGAAAGATGATAACTGGGTGATGGGTCTGAATCCCAGGGAGAGGAAAATGCCTATACATGGGCATCACCTGCTCTAAATCCTCGAATGTGACATAAACGGGGACGGGAATTGAAGGGCCATATG